CCAGAGAGCGAATTTCCTGTATATTATCCATTTTTCAGAGGTCAGATTTCCCTCTTTTTTTTGACGTACTTGATTACGAGCCTAAATGTCTAAACAATAATTTCTAAACACAAGTTTTTATATATTAAATTTATATTTAAGGCATACGTATATATAAGGGTAAGTGAATATTTGGGTGATTTCTTATTTCCTTTTAGCGACGAGTAGAAGAATTTCCAGGAATATATTGGAATACTGAAGTTGGATTGGATTTGAGATTGATACGCGGATTTGCACGTTTTGCCTTTCTAAGTTGTTCTTGATTCGAATTCCATTTAATTACATAATTAACACGTCTGTCCTCCTTAAAAATATTAAACATTATGAAAGATGAATACAAAATTTAAATAACCTCTTCAATTCCTCTATTTTCGATGTACTTCTTTGCCTTTCTGGTATCGAGATTTTCTGGTGGTCTTTGAGATTGAGATCGGACTACATTTCTGTTGGGCTTAAATTTTGAAACATAAATTAAATAAATATATTTTAGTTTAATTATCATAAATAAAATGGTTTCTTATAAGGGAAAGATTGAAAATTGTATTTTTTTAGAAATTACCGAGATCTGGAATTTATAGGTGCAAAAATTGAGACAATTGGTCAGTTGTCTTCTGAATATTTCCCCATTCAAGTATTTCCCATTATTTATTTAAAATAAAAATAATATTTAATTAATTAACCGATCGAGTAGGCGGTGAAGTAAAGGATACACGAGGTACATTTGTTTTAGGTATTGGTGTCTTCCTTAAAATAGGTGCCGGAGTTAATGGACGTGTAGTAGTAGGACGAGTAGAAAGACTATTTGTTGTTGTATTTCTTTCACGTTCTTCTTGTTCTCGGAGATTTTGCTCAAAGTTACGACGACGAGCATCCAATTTTAATTGATTATTCAAAAGTTCCCACTTAAAATTAGAAAAGGAAAATTTTAAAAGAAGTGTTGAAAAATAATATAACTAAATAACCTCCTCTAAATCCTGTCGAGTACTTTCACTAAACCGACTAAATTGAGCACTAAGTTGAACTCGTTTTAATTCGCCTTCACGAATTCGTTTGGCAAGATGATCGAGGTGAAGACTAGAAAAATTATTTTTAGAAATTGTTTTAATTTTCAATCGGTTTAATTTTCGGTAAAAAAACAAAACATTTATTATTTTTAAGTATTTTCATAATATTTAAATTAATATTTTTATATTTAAAAATTTAAAAAAACCGTCTATAATGTTCCGGTTTAGGTGTCACAGCAAAAGGTCGATAATAACGAAGTGTTGATGACGGCCCATATTTATTACTTAACAAAGAATTTTGAAAAGGCGAATGTAGTCGGTTGTTGTGAAAAATATAATTTTTATTTTGTTTTTTGAACTTGTCAGAAATTGGTGAGCCAGCAGCTATTTGAATATCGTCAGTTTGATTTTCTTTATCATGCCGTAGGGGTAAATTCTGTGAAAAATCTCGTTGGAGAGTATTTGTTTGTTGTTGTGCAGGTATCTGTGAAATAAATACATATTAAATTAAGAATCAAAATAAAAACCTCAGTTTGCTGATGCTCTCTTTGTTGGAGACCATTCAAAGTTTGTTGACTTCTATTAACACCATTTGGAAAACGATCAATTTCGGGTGAGTCATGCAAAGGCAGTTCGGCTTCGAAACCTCAAAATTTCAATTTATATAAATTAAAAAATTATTTCAGACCTTTATCAAAAGGAGTGGACATAGGTTTAAATGATGAACCAGCCCTTTGAACTTCCACCTCACGAGAACTAGCCACTCGACTTCCACGCCTTTATTTAAAAAATAACATTTAAATTTATTTTGATTAAAAATTCCTAAAAATCAAAGGAACACTACTCTTAGAAATTTCAGTAAAATGTGACTATTCTACACATGTTTGAATACTTTAATGAGCCATTAAAAGCAATTTTTCTCGAATTTTTATAAAAAAGAAAGTCAAACCCGAAAACTGCACGAAATGGAAGGTTAACAAGTTCTTGCAGTTTAGTAGCACCATTTCCAGGTTTTGGATGATTTTGAATTTTTAATCTATGTTGGCGAAGTGATTCATCTTCAGAATATATACTGGCAGGCGATTGTGCAGATCTGCGTGCAGCTACCAAATTACTGCGTGATTTTTCTGCAGATAATTGTCTAGTAGCAAGAGGAGTTGTATTTGGGTCATGTGTGTGACGACTGCGTGATGAATGTAGTTTAGGCTGATTCTGCTCAAAATATATAAAATTAAAAAACAGAAATTTAAGGAAAAATTTAAACATATAAACACACTGAAGGAGCTTAACTTTCTAAAAGAAAACCTGTTGCACTGTTTGACGTTCAGGTCGTGGAGGTGTAAGAAACGGACTAATATTGTTTTGTGTAGATTTATTGTTTGTTGCATTAGATTTTACTCCAGATCTTCTACGACCTCCACAAGTGCTGGGAATTGCATCGGAAATTCTTTCGTCGAAAGATGCATCAAGATCACTTTCGCTAGCATCGGGGTCGATCCAAGAATGCATTTGCAAATTATATGTAAGTATTAGCACAAAAAATGCTACTAAAATCAAATAAAATAAGAATAAATTTTAAAAAAATCACGCGCCAAACATTCCAAAAAATAATGAAATTAATGAAAAAACAAAAAGGATTTTTGATATTTTCTTTTCCATAAAATACTTAATTTGAGGGTTTACGTTTGTATAAAATCCATAATAGACGTTTAAATTTATTGAGCGACTCGCATTGCCAGTGAAAAATTCAATCTATTAAAGATTAGTTTTGCATCTTTACATACCGGTTTTGACTTTTTTGAGTCAAAAAAGGCGAGTACGTTGAGGAAGTAAAGAGAGGAAAACAAAACGACTCCTTAGGATATTTTAAAAATAAAAAAAGTAACACAAATGGGAATCGTTATAAAACTAAATTTGAAAATTGGGAGCGGGCTTTTGAGTGCTAAGAATTGAGTGTTGAGATTTGAAAGCGGTAAGTTTATTCAAAATTACTAAATAAATACAATTTATATTTGGCACTTGCTTGAGTTAATTTACAATTCTCCCTTATCTTGACATTTGTAGACCCGAGTGTCCTTCATTTGAGACGACTCTGATCTTAAAATCTTAAAATGACTGATCATTACATTCCTGTTTCCATTAACTTACTTAATACATACATATTTATTTTAATCGTTTAGTATATACATAATAAAAATTAAATTTTCTAATAAGCGCCGCAAATGTCAATGCCGCAAACGTCGAGTCGCAAAAGCCGGCTAACCACAAAATCGAATTTTGGGAAATTAAAATAATTTCAAAAAGTAACAAAGGAATGGTTCAAAAATAAAATTAAATAATTAAAAAATATTTATGTTCAAGTACTACAAACTTTATTGGAAATTGTTTTCTAGAAAAAAATTAAAAATCCTTATCATTTTTCCTTATCTCTTCTTTTGTAAACACTACGTAAGAGAGTCATTTCGGCGTTTCCATTTTGACACCGAGTTTTTTTCTACAAAAATTTTTTTTGAAAATTTTCTCATTATTCGAACAAACTAAAATAATAACAAAACATTTTTTTCAATTTTCTTTAAGTTTTATTTTTCTATTTAAAAATATTGTTGCATCTTCGCTTTAGCGATCGGTTGTTGACCTACTTTTTTTGTAAAGGATATACGGAATATTTAATTGAATTTTTATTTTATTTTCCATTCTAGGTCATCAATCCTAAACATACTATTTACTACAATTAAATGGCATTTGATTGACCACTTTTCTCCTTCCATTCATTATTTTTAAAAAAAATATTCGATTCAATTAAAAGTTAGAAAAAGATACCTATTTAATATTTAAATCGATCAAAAAATTATTTTTTTAATTAAAAAATGAATAAAATATTTTTATATTCATTATTATTTTATTTATTATTTATTTTTCTCTCAAAATTTGTTAATTCTGGAATGATTAATGTTTGTAGTGAAAGTAAAGAAAAAAAGATTTTTTAAAAAATAATTAAAAGTTTTTTAGTGAGAGATTGTGCTGCTTGCACTAATTCTTATATAAATATTTTAACTTTTCGTGAACATTGCAGGTTAAAATAAATATTTAAATTAAAAATTAATTTAAACAAAAAAGATGGTGTTATTCAACAAATTCTTGTGGAGGACCACTTTCCTGTCCAAGTGGTGTAGCTGTTGCTACAAGAGATCCATTTAAATGTCCATTAAAAATATCTAATGCAAAAGGACGTAGATATACAGACAAATTAGGAAGATCTTTATATGCACTTACTTTGGCTGCTAAACAAAAAGATCCAACATTTTGTTTAAAAAATAGTAGAAGTGATGTAAAGTAAGGAAGGAAAATAAAAATATATATTTATTTTAATTTGGTATTCCCTTACAATCAATGATAAAACACCTCCATTAGTTGATTTTTCCAATTAATTGTTCATTACGTGTTCAAAATTCCCCTAGTCTCACTTATTTTTGTAACATTCAGCTCGAGGATTCGCATAGCATAAGCCTTTATTTGTCTTTATCCCAATAATAATAAAACATCTTAGAAATTTGAAAAGTACCACTATATGGAAAAGTACCACTATTTTAATTTTAAGATAAATATATATTTAAAATTTAATATGTATTTCCATGAATAATAAAAAATATTTTTATTTTATTTTTGAAGTTTAGTAAAATAGCACAAATTTTTCCTCCTCTTTAAATTGATAGTAGTTTTTAAAAATAAAGGCAGTAAGCGCGGTCGTGTCCGAGTGGTTAAGGAGATTGACTAGAAATCAATTGGGCTCTGCCCGCACAGGTTCGAATCCTGTCGACCACGAAATATTTTTTTCAATTTTTTCTCTAAATAAAATAAATATTTAATATTTATTTTTATTTTAAAAAATATTTTTAAAAAAGAGTTGTTAGATACTTTGAAGTGGAATGTGATCAAGCTAAAAATACTTGTGCGGGAATGTTGGCAGTTTCTGAAGAGGCAAAAGCACTTTATGTTATTTATAGAGGATCGACTATTGATAGACAACTTTTTCAAGTCTTCTAATCTTAATTTTAAATTAAAAAAACCTCGTATTTTCAAAGGAATTTATTCATGGAATAGCAGCTCAATTAGGTGCCTGGGAAAAATTTGTGAATGGCTCTGGGGTTATGACATATTTTCATGGAGCTTTTAGACGTCTTTTTCTTGAAGGGGGAATGAAAACACAATTATTAAAATTAAAAGAAAAACATGAAGGATATCGTATTTGGGTAGACAAAAATAAATAAATTTTATTTTAATTTTGATTAAAAATAAAGGTAACTGGCCATTCATTGGGTGGTTCTTTAGCTTCAATGACTGCTTTATATTTAGTTAATCAAACAATGTTTTCACCTGATAGAGTTAAATTAGTAACTTTTGGAGAACCTAGAACTGGAAATTTAAATTATGCTAAAGCTGTTGAATTAAATGTTCCTTTCCGTTATCGAGTTATTAATAAAAATGATATTGTAAGTTTTTTTTCTAAATTTTAAATTGTTTAAAAATTAGAAATAGGGGAAAATTAAAATTAATAATGCAACGATAACAATCTCCATAAGGAATGCCATAATTAAATTTTAACATAATTTATTATATGTTAAATCATTAATTTATTATATTATACATATGTTAAAGGTGTTACAACAATTGCGGATTAATAATTTCTTATCCTGTTCTTTAGTCCCGGCTGTCAGTTTCCGACTTCTGACGGTTTTTAAACCATTTTTAGACTGATATGACACTGAAAACTTAATAAAATCTTAATTTTTTTATATCCGCATATGTCGTCCGCAGTTGTCGACACTTCACACCTCGCATTCTTTTTTTAATTTCGAAAGCTCCAACCCCTAAATCTGTCCCCGACTGTAAAAACTAAAAATTCTAAACATTTTTTTTTGTTTTTTAATTTAAAAGAAATACATATTTCTTTTAAAATTTATTTAAAGAAATTTTTACTAAACATACTATTGTTCTTTCTTTCTTACATAATTTAAATAGGTAATTCAATTATTTTCCCATTATCTTTTTATAAAATAAAATCACGTAATTTATTTAAATTGAGGTAATTTAATATTTATATATATTTTTAGTATTTAATTTGAAAAAGGTTAATTTATGGGAGAGTAAATTAAATTACGTCTCCATTATTTAACAAAAATGAGGTCAATTTAAATGTGACCGATTTTTGTTCCTTTAAAATGTTTCCAATTTTCAGAATTAATATTTGAAAATTAAAGGTAACTAATATACCTCAATCTGTTGATCCGGATGGACTTTTATTAACATTAGGGGGTGCTGAACGACAACCATATTTTTATCGTTTTGCTGTTCATTACCCACAAGGAATGGAATCGAGAGAAGCTGATTTTTTGGTAAATTTTAATTTAAAAATATAATTTAAAAATATTTTAGACAAAATTAATTTTTAAATAAAAACGTAAAAATATTTATGTTTTAAAAATTATTTTAATTTAATTAACTAAAATTTAATAAAAATTTTACAAATTATTAATTAAATAATTTGTAAAATAATTTAATAAAATATTTAATTTAAATTTAAAAAAGTAAAAGTCTTAAAATAAAAAAATTTACGTCGGAATATTTATTTTTAATTAAATAAAAGAATATATTTAAATTAGCCAAATTTACATAAAATATTCTTTTAGTTTTTTCTTTCATTTTTTTTTTCATTTTCCAACTTTTTTTATTAAAATAATAATCTTCTAAAAATTTAAAAATTATAAAAAAAATTTAAAAAATTTTCTCTATAGGTTTGTGAGTATCCAGAGGATCACCATTGCCGTCCTCTCCCAATGGCAGTTGATACTAGCGACCATTTGAGTTATTTTGGAATAAAATCTGACGATTATTTAAGGGCTGGTTGTCCAAGGGATATGCTTCTTTAATTGTATTTTGTGGGAAAATAAAAAGAAAGTATTTAATTTCTCATAAATTTATTTTCTATTTAACACACAAAATATTCCCATAATTTATTTTTATTTATTTAGTATTTTCCTTTTCTTTCATTAATTTTTAAATAAATTAATTTGTGCAATTTAATATTAAATATAAGATTGTTTTTTAATTGTTTTTTCCTTTTTTTAAATTAAATTTAAATAAAATTAAGAATTTAATACTCCTCTCTTTCAATTATTAGTCAGAAAATAGAGTAAGTCTCGAGATTTTTATTAATCTAAAATTATTGTTTAAGTTAATATACGTCGAGACTATTTAGCTTGATTTTTAACATTTTTAAAAATAAATTTTGAAAAAATGAATGTGGGAAGTAAATAAAAAAGTATGACTATTCAATAAAAAGCCACCTTTTTCTGTTTCCGATTACTTCATTTTAAGTTAAAAAAATTTTTTTCAAGATTTTTTTTTTGTTTTAGAGTTTATATAAAATATATTTTTTGCCCTCATTATTTTTATTTTTTTTATAAATTATTTTTATTGAATTACCTCAAGAGAATTACTTGAAGTAGGCACAAATTGAATTGCCCTCAAAACTATCTGGCCAATAAATTATGATAATAGAAAAATATGTATATAATTAATTATTATTTAAGAAATATATTTTAATTAAAAAATAATGAAAAATATTAATTTATTAAGAAAATCTTTTCAAAAAATTTAAAATAAGTTGAAACTTTTTGAATAAAATTTATTTTTCCCTCAATAAATAAAGTTTAAATTCACAGAAATTTCAATTCATTTACTTTAATTCTTTTATTTTAATTTTAAATTAACAAACAAAATTCTGCAAAATTGGAACATTCTAAAAATAATTCTTTTTTAAATAATTTTTATTTATAAATAAATGTATACTTTGAATAATTCCTTTTATATTTATTTTTAAAATTTTCTGCATCATTTTCTCCAAATATATATTTTAGTAATTTATCTTCTTCATTAATTGTATATTCCCAAAAAATTCCTTTATTTTATCTCTCTCCTTTATTTCACACATTTTCATCCTCATTTTGCCAATATTATTTATCTTTTAAGGGAGCTTTTTGTCTGTTAAAATTGGATTTTGCTGCATTAGACAAAAACAAAAAAACAAAAAAATTTTATTTTTTATTTTATTTTTAATATTTCCGGCTAATTCCCCCTTCTCCTCATTTATTTTTTTTTCTTAACAATATTGTTTTTAGTACTACAATATAGTAAATATATTTTATAAAAAAACAATGAATAGTTTTTTACATCCTTAAAACCCCTACGCTTTTTTGAAGAGAAGAATGTACTTATATCTTAAAATTAAATCTTTTAGGTATTTTGTGCTTGTTTTCTTTAAACCTTTTTAAATATTTTATTTAAATTACGAATGTAAAAAAATCATTTTTGGGAATTGTTATTTAAATAAAAAAAAATTCCCACCCACCCACCCCCTACCCTTTTCCTTATACAAAATATGTTCAATTTTTTATCCTTTTTACCCTCTTTTCTCTACTTTTCAATAATAAAATTTTTTTATAAATTTTGAATCTCGGTTTTTGTGATTTTCGAATTTTTTTGTATCTACATATTGCCCTTTAAATAGAAAAAATTAATTTATTTTTTATTATCTCCCTTTTATCAAAATATTTTAATTTTCTTAAAATTTAAATTTAATCTAAAGAATTATTTTTTAATAAAAATTTCTTTCATTTTTTAAATTCGTTTGTCTCAAATTTTATGTCTCATCTTATGACTGTATTAAATTAATAATAAAATATGAATATATCTAATGGCCAATGTTCTACATTTCCTTGGGGGATTTGGCCAAATTAATAAATAAAAATATTATTTATTAAAAATTTGGTATTTGTTTTTAATATTTTTTTGGTAAAGAAATAATTAGGAAATATATATTTTTGAATATTTAATTAAAGTTAAGTTGAAGTAAAGAATATACTTTCCTTTTTAACAATAATTTCTAAATTTGTCAAAAAATCTTTTTTAAATTCAATACTCAAGTTTATTTTTCCAAAAAATGTGTAAGGATTATTAATTAAAAAATAATAAATATTTAATATTAATAAGGTATTTCTTTAATAATTTAAAAATAAAAACAAAATTAATTTAAATATTTTAAAATATTTTTAACAAAATTAAATTAATTTTATTTTTATTTAATTATTTTCTCGGTAAAATATCCCAAACAAAATTAATTTTTTATTTAGGAAACAAAAGAAATTTCTTTATTTTTTTTTATTTCCGTTTATTAATTTTCTAAAAAAAATTTTTTTAATAATAATTTATATATATTTTTATTTTACTACAAAATTATTTTTAAATTTAAAAAAATATTCAAATAATTTATTAAAGAAATATTTAATTAATATATTTTGACAAAATTTAAAAAAATCCCTTTGTTTTTATCAAAATAAAGCAAAACAATAAATAATTAAAAACAATTCCAAACACCACCCACTCAATTAATTTGTTACTTTATTTTTTTAAAATAATTGCAAAAAAAATTTTTTTAATTAGATTTATTTTTCATTTTATTCTTTTTCTATTTTTGATATTCACACAAAAATAGAATAGGTAGAGATCTTATTAAAAATAAATATTTTTGAGATTTTTTCTTTAAATAATTTTTAAAATTTTCGTTAAACTATTTTAGTTTCTTATATTTTTATTTATTTTAAAATTAAAAATAATTACTTTTTATGAGAATATTTAGAAAAACTTGATTTTAAAAAAGAACTTTTTATTATCAAAAAATTCCATTTATTCCTTCTTCCTAAATTTAAATTAAGTTTAAAAATTCTAAAAATATCAAAAACTAAATTTTAATTTAATTTTTTTCTTTTATTTCCTTTAATCTAAGAAAAAAATAATTTTTTATTAGTAAAATATATGAAGTCATTCTTTCTTTTTTTCTTCTAAAATTTCTTTTTTTTTATTTTACAAAAAATATTCTTTTTTTTATTGAAAGTCTTCTCAATTGAGACATTTGCGTGTTTAGCTACTTTTAATATTTTTTAAAGATAAAATATTAAAATAATAATTTAAATAATGACTTTAAATTTATTTTTTTAATAACAAAAAGATTTAAAAAAATAAATATTAAATAAATTTTAATTAAAATAAATATATTTCTAAATACACTTTTCTAAATTATTAAATATTTTTTAAATTAATTCTGAATTTTTTTTATAAATAAACAAATAAATATTTAAAGTCAATATTTTAATAAATATATCTCAAATTGCAATATTTTTAATTTACATAAAAGTCATAACCAAATATTAAAAATAAAATTTTTTTAAACAAATATATAAAAATATTCTTTTTTTCACTAAATTTTCAAATAAAAAATAATTATTTTTTATTTTCTACTAAATTAAATATTCGTAATATTTAATTAATTTATTTTTTTGTTTTTTTCTACTTCATTTATTTTTTTTAAATTTATATATTTTATTTTATTTTAAGGGAAATTAAGCAAATTATTTTAAATAATTTTGAAATTTTCGTCTGACATTTCTTCAATAATTTTATTTAAATGTTTTTTAATATTTTTGACATTTTAATTTATTTGGCTTCAACTAAATAAATTCATTTTTATTTAATAGTTGATTTTAAAAAAAAGAATCTTTTTTTTAAATATTTACTGACATCATTTATAAAAACTTTTCTTTTTCTAATTTTATTTTTGCAAAAAACTATCGGGAAAATAATTTACCTAAACAAAAATAAATACTAATTTTATTTTTGTTTTTATTTTAAATAAAAACCCCAAAACAAAACAATTTCCGTTAAAATTAATAAAAATAACCTTTCTTTATTTTTTTACGTAAAATTTTGTCTCTTTTTTTATTGTGTAAGAATGCTAAAAATAGAGCTAAATAAAATAGAAACTTTATTATTTTTTGATTCCTAAAAAATACGTAAATATTTGTTATTTTTGTGTTTTATTTACTAAAAAGAAAATTATTTTAAATTTTGCCTATATGTATTATTTTTCAAAAAAATATTTTTTAATTTTAATTTAAAATATTTATTTAATATCTTCTTTATTTTATGATAATTCTTCAAAATAAAATTTATTTTTAATTTTTTTCCTACAAATAATTAAAAAATTCAAAGAAAAGAAAAAATAATTCTGGAAAAAATTTCTAAAAAGAAATAAAATATGTATATAACCAATTAAATATAAAAAAGGAACTTTTATTTATAAAAATATTAGTTGAAAAAAAAAGTTTTTTTAATTCTATTATGTCTTATTTAAATTTAAAAGAAAAATTTTTTTCGAAACTTGTATTTTTCTTTTAAATTTTAAATTAATTATATTGAAAAAAATATTTTTTTAATATTTCTAATAATTGCCTATTTTTTTTTATTAAATAACCTCTCAAAAAAATAATACAAAAAATTTTAACACGCAATAATTACCCAGTCCTTGGTAACAAATAATTAAAATATGAAAAATATATTATAATAGCTTCCCAGCCTTAGTTACTTAAAATTAAATTGTGGAAGGGGAGGAAAGACTTTTATTGTTTTTATTTTTAAATATTATTTCTGATTAATTTAGAAAAACAAATAAATTTTAGACTCAGGAAAACCAAAATTAATTTTTAAATATTTTTAAATATTTTCTTCAGATTAAAAAAAAATAAGGGAATTATTAATTTAAATATTAATTATTATAATTATTTTTATTTTTCTACTTTTAATTTCATTAAATTTTAAAATTTATTTTTCAGGTTAAACTAAGAAAACAGGCAAATAAAAATTTAAATATTTTTTTCTCTCCATTAATAAATTTTAAAAGATGACCAGCAAACAATTCCCTATTAACAAAAATTTATTTTCTTCTTTAATTAAAACAACAATATTTTCTCCAATTTTTATTGTCATTATCTTTGTTTCTCTTTTTATTTTTACTTCAGAAATGGCTTTAGCTGAAGAAGCAATTAATGAAGTTTCTTCCCCTTTTAAAAATTGGTAAATATTTTTTAATTAAAAATTACCTTAAAAAATATTTAAAAATTGAATTAAAAAATATTTCGCGGTCGACAGGATTCGAACCTGTGCGGGCAGAGCCCAATTGATTTCGAGTCAATCTCCTTAACCACTCGGACACGACCGCTCATTTTAATATTTTCTAAAAAGTCCCCTAAAAGTCAAAAGAATATTTTTTTAAATAAAACATTTTTAGGTTCGATCGAGATACACGTTCGCCTAAACCGAAATTTATCAGATTTGGACGTTCAGCTGGCAACAACCAAAAGTTTATTCGATTTGGGCGGACTCCTTCAATGGTAATATCTTTGGGGTCACTATATCTTATGGGAGCACGGACTTAAATTTGATTCCTCTCGCCGAGCTAAGTTCGTGTATGCAGTCCTTTTTTTCTAGGTGTCAAAAACTCACAGAGATACATGCCCCCGAAAATTGAAAAACCATAGAGGGGAGTAAGCACATTTTTGGGCTAAAAAATACGATTTTTTAAATGATAGCCCATTCTAAAGTGCCCCTCATTTATGCGTACAATGAAATGTTTAAGCATTCAATCATGTTTTATGCGGCCAATCGCTGACTACCCGGTTCTTCAATTTAGTACCGTGAAATCAATGGGAATAGAAAGCTCTACTCACCCAGTGTTATGATACACCCGTACAATACCAGACCTTAATACGCAGAACAGGGTCTTATTAACGTAGATTGGACGTATAAACGTTAATTTCACGCATAAAAATTTGTTTGGACCGCGTAATCTGGACAAGAGTGTCTTTGTTTTAAATAAAAATATTTTTTTAATTTTTAGGAATTAGTTGGGGGAGATCCTTCAACAGAAGTAGAAAATTTGGATGATTTAATTGATGTTGTAGAAGGTTTATATCCATCAGAAAGGTTAAGGCAACAACAAGAATCACCTGCAATGACTGCTGTTTATTTAACAGCCCCAAAAAGAGCACAAAAATTTATTAGATTTGGCAAAAAATGAATTTAAAAAAGAAAAAAGGGAAAAGAATATTTTATAATTTTGATCTCTAATTAATTGGATGATCTCTTTAAATTACTCTATTTTTTGTCATAAAAATATAAATCCATTTTTACTTGTTCTTTTGCTTTTAAAGTGTTTGAAAAAAATAAATGAAAGGAATTTTTATTTTTAAAATTTTAGAAAATTAAAAACATAATTTATTAACGAAATTTAAAAATTAATAAAGCAATAAACGTGCCCATCCAAAACAAAAATAAAGGTATAATCATAGCATAAACTTGTGATGGGAACAATAACCTCAAATGACTTTCAACAGGAATAAAAGGCTGAAATTTGAAGAATTATTTAAAATTTCTAGAATTTTTTTCAGTTTTCAATTCTTGGATGGCCAACAAGCCAGACTTCAAATTTTATTTCAAATTTTTAAAGTACAGTATTTTCGCCTAGAATACATTGGTGTGTAAGATAATTTATCTATTTTCCTCATTAATTACCCTCCCTCAAATAATTACCCCTCCCATTCTTTTTCTAAAATTTAGGGAGTATGATGTACTTCCTTAAATGGAATTATGGTACTTTATGGATATGTCACCCCCCCTTCTATTTTGAGTCTCAGAGTTTTCCTTAGATGTAGAAAATGGTCAGAGATTATTTTCTTCTCCATGTCAATCATTTTTCTTTCTTCAAGAAAAATAATTGAAATTTGGTAAATGTAGAAACGAAATGAGTGAAATGTAAGTCAAAATATGTGAAAAGGCAAAATAAACAAGCAAAATAGAATGTTGTGACTTATAGTGGGTTTTTTTTGGCTGGACCGATTTCGACAAATGAGGTATCATTCGAAAGAGCTTCGAAAACTGAGTCGAACTAGATATGGGGGAAGTTGGTCCGACAATCAGGGACCGAGTTACAGACCCCCGAAGTTTGAAAAAGAGAAGGGGGGAGTAAGCACATTTTGGGGTGAAAAATTCAAAAATGCAAATAATAGCTCATTCGACTCCTCTCGATGAGTTGAGTCGAATGACACCAAAATCAGCTTGATATCTTGATTTTGAGTCAAGATAAACAGGTTCAAAATGGTCAACATAAACCTATGGGGCGTAGGCGAGGCGCTTGTGCAAAACCCCGCGCTTCGCGCGGGGTTTTGCGGCACGCGCCTCGCGGGGAGTCTACGGGCGCTGGGTCTGGGTCAGTAACATAAACCTATTCCTATCTTCCTTGTTCTGGACGTACTTGGGGCCTCCGTAGCAGCAAAAACCTCCACATTGACCATAGGTAAGGAGCTAAAACAAACGATCATAACTTTGTCAAATCAAGTCGGATTTCGGTGATTTTGGTGTCATTCGACTCAGCTCATCGAGAGGAGTCGAATGAGCTATTATTTGCATTTTCGAATTTTTCAACCCAATTTGAGCTTACTCCCCCCTTCTCTTTTTCAAACTTCAGGGGTCTGTAACTCGGCCCCTGATTGTCGGACCGACTTCCCCCATATATAGTTCGACTCAGTTTTCGAAGCTCTTTCGAATGATACCTCATTTGTCGAAATCGGTCCAGCCAAAAAAAAACCCACTATAAGTCACAATACCCGCAAAATATTTGAAGAAGAAAAGAATGATTGACATGGAGAAAAAAATAATCTCTGACCATTTTCTACGTATAAGAAAAACTCTGAGACTCAAAATAGGAGGGGGGTGACATATCCATAAAGTACCGGAATTATAAGCAGAAATGTGTTATATTTATATCCAAGTACAAATTTTCACTAAATAAATTTCCAAAAAATCTAACCACTCCAAATATCCACAAGCTATAATAAACGAAAAGTCCAATGCTCAAATAAAAACAAACATTTGCACAACTATTATCCATTTAATATCTAAAAATATTAATTTTCAAAAACATTTTTTATTTCAACTTTTCGCAGAATTTTCGTTTTACGAACATTATTCATATAAATTCGCAATTTAGCTTTTTTAATTTTATTTCATCTTAAAAAGTTTAAATAAGAGAAAAAAATTTTTTTCATTGAAAAATCAAACCAAAATAAATAAATATATTTAGGTCATTAAAGAGTTCGTATGCAATAAAAAGATGAAAAAAAAATAAATTTGAAAAAAGCTTGAGAATAAATTAAAGTTTAAGCAGTCACTATTAAATAGTAATTCCTTAAATAAAACTTTAAAAAATGCAAGAAAATAACAAATTATTAGTTCCAATTGAATAATACATATAACAAAAAATGCCAAATCAACAATTATTTTTCTTTAAATTTTTTATTTTAAAATTAATTATTATTAATAATTTGGCAATTGAACAAAAATTAATAATTGACTTAAAAAAGCCTTTATCATCTTTAACTTCACAAAGGTCAAGATCTGGAATTGTTTTAGGAGAAAAAGGAGAAAATAATAATTTAAATTCTAATGGACATTTTGGAAAAGAACAAGGATTTTTAAATGTTTTAACAATAGAGCATGGGGCATCATCAACAATGAAGAAACGAAATAGTTATGTTAACGAAGAAGAAAATAATGAAAAAACAAAACTTTCGTCTAATTCCATTGAAAAAGTATTTAAAAATAAATTTTTATTTTCTAAAAATAAATTATTTTAAAGCTTAGAGAATTAATAAAACGTTTGGAAGAAATTTTCTCTACTCGTTTTGAACATTTATTAAGGGCAAGTTTTCTTTTAGAAAATAAAAAGGATTTTTAAATGAAGAATTTTTTCAAATTTTTTAAGAGACTTGACCGTCTTGAAGCAAATCAACAAAATTTGAGACGCGCCACACTTGCAGACTGGCCAGCATTTAGTGTAGATAAACGGGTACGTATATTTGACCATACACGCAGCACTTGGGTCGATGCACAGAGGGAATGTTCAGAACATGCTGGTACTTTATTAGAAATTGACTCAGAATCTGAGAATGAGAGAATAAATGGTAAATATGAAAAAATATTTTTATTTTAAAAATTTTCAGAAATGCTCACCAATAGTGGCAATAGTAATCGACCAAATGATCATTATTGGATAGGTGTACAAATTATGTTGCAATTCAGCAACGGCTCTTCCATAATTGGAAATTATAGCAATTTTGAAGAACAAAATAATTCAGAAAGTACGCAAAATCAAAAACTGTCAAAAGGTTTGGTAATGAAAAGGTGTGCTGCAATTTCCGCATCTCAGGCAACAAAAAGTGAAGGGCGATGGCTAAGTTTAGAATGTAGTGAAAAGCATGGGTTTATATGCCAGCTTTGAATAAAAAATAAAAATTCATTTCCTTTAAAAAATAAATTATTATAGGTAGGATAAACTCAGACAAACAGAATTAAATGACTTGATAAGCACATAAACTTTAATTTAACACTTGTATATTCAAAAAATACATACTATATTAATTTTGTCATAAAAATATATTTTCAACAACAAAAAGCAAATTATTATGAATACATAACAATCACACATTCTATAATCTTTTAATTAATCAGCTTCATCCCCCGATGAACCACTCCTATCTTCATCCTCGCTTGAATCAAGTGTTCCTTCCGGAAGCGCGTAAATACGCACAACTTGCTGAAATATTTTTAACTTATGTTAGTATTCCTAAGAAATGTTTTTAACTGCACTTCCCGTACTTTTTTAGAGTTGTATTATTTAAACGGTTGGTTAGCTTACTCGACGGACAAAATTTAGTGGAAGCAACGATAAGTCGCGATACAGGCCATTTAAAATCTTAAAGGAAACCAAAAAAGTGTGGAAAGTGTAGTTTAGACATCGAATAGACTATTAAACTTATGAATTTAAATTTTAAAATTTTCTTGCCTGATGTGGGTCTTTCATAAGTAAATATTTTCCAGCTGGACGTTCCATAAAGAAATCAATTATTGCCCTTAAAATACCCCAGCATAATTGCATATTCAAAGAAGGAAGACCAGAGGCGAATTTCGATGGTTCGTATTGTTGGGTGCCAAAGACAAGATGTTGTGTACTGTTTCGGACATTTGCACGACTTACAAAACTGAAAGTAAAAATATCAAAATTATATAAATATTGTTTAAATTAAAAATTCGAACCCAAATTTTAGGAAATCAGAGCCTGCCAGAATAGCTTGCAAAGTCCATTTAGCTACTTTGCAGTTATTATTCCTGTAAATTAAAAAATATAAATAAACATTAGATCGTTCCTCAACAAACCTTACTTCAGTCGCAAGAACAGTTCCACGTTGAATTTCAAGTTTCGAACGCCAATCTTCACCTCCACTTTGCTAATAAGAAATTTGTAAATGTAAATAATATATAGAAAATACTCGCCTAAATGAAAGAAAGAATCATAAATTTGATATTTCTCCATTTCCATAAATTCTTGGCTTTCTTTTATTTTACATGTTCCCTCTTTCCATTTTTATTGATAAGCAAAATTATGTGAAGAATTTATGGAAAATGGATAAATCTAAAAACGTGATTCCGTCCTCATTTAATCTAGAGCCTAAATACACAACTCACTGAGCTATCCCATTCATTAAAAGCTTTGATAGTCAACTTCACTACTTCACCAGCGCTTCCCTGCATAACAGCATCATGTTCAGTACGTGCTACCAATTTAATTGGCACCCCATCACGAGTTGTACCCAAATTCCATGTCCTATATTTATAAGCTATGTCGCTTTCCACTTCTTCGAATGGAACTTTTTCGTTTTCAAATTTAAAGACATGTTGACTATCCCGTTTAAGGAACTGTCGACGAAAATTTTGATTCAATAATAAAGCTTCGTCGGCTAGTGTTTTAGCGTTGTTGACGCCCGGCCCATCCCAGCTAGGAGGTTCCATCGCCGTTTCACTGACCCAAAGAGCATCTCAAATAAAATTTAAGAAAATCAATAAAATAATGAAAAAGAATAAACCATTAAAAATAAAAAAAACTCACCAATTGGCGAAACACCGGTTACCGATCGTTTGTCGAAAAACAATTTATTACCAATCCGGCGAGCAATGATGTCCCAACTATTAACCGACCGAGTACAAGTCATAAGCGTTGCCAAAATTATATCAGTAGCAAAAACATTTCCAATATCAGAGTCAGAGGATGCCAACTTAATTTAACAAATTCCTTAAAATTTAAATGCTTTGAGAAAAACCTTATGAATGATAGGATCTTCAGTAGTAGTTATATGACAGTAGGTTCCATTAAAGCGTTGAAGTGGAACAGCTTTATTGACACTAATTCTATCAGCAAGTTTATCATAAAAATTAAGTACTCCATAACTATGACCTTCACTACAATTTTATTTTGAAAAAAATTAGATTAAAAAACGCGTACATATCCTTTCCCGCTTCGACATTTGGTAGGGAGAGTTTGTTAAGCTGTTGAAAATCTAATTCTTTGATGACCTCCCAATCAGGTCGAACTTGAACAGATGGTTGGCGACCCTTGCCTGGTTGCCTTTCATTGTAACGACGAGTTGTACGTTGTTGGGCACCTCGAGTACCTCCACCACGTCGAAGAAAAACTTTGTAAGCCTTTTGTTGTTCTCTATAAACGAATAATAAACAATGTAACGAAAATTTCTTAAACAAACTTCATAATGCTACGTTTCATTTTGTTCGGCACATTATATTTATCATATTCACGACGTTCCTGTTCACGTTGGGCCAGCTTTCGCTAAATAAGATTGAGAAATAAATTTTAAATAATTTTAAGAAATGTTATTTTAGAGTAAAGAGGTATGATCAAAAAATATAAATTTAAAATTTTTGTCCCAAATAACTTTGAGTTTTTTAAGGATAAAATTTAAAAAAGAAACATTTAAGAATTGGAATTGCCGTCTATAGACAGGTCTTTGCGGTCGCTGGATTCGGCCTGAATCAACCAATTGGAAATTGGCATCTTCATTATCATGTATATAATCGAACTGAGCACCCGCAGTTGCAGAAGAACCATAGAGACGCTCATTATAACGATCACCTAAATATTAATTTTAATTTAAACTAACGGATTTTAAAAGAAACTAACGCATTTCACTCTTTTTGTAGCGATCTAAGTAGTTAAACACCCCGCGAGGTCGTCAGGGGCAGCGAGGTCCATCCATTTAGCCCCTCCCCTTAATTAAACGGTATTTAAATTCAACCACACCGTCGTCAGAGTCCAAGGAGTTTCCAAAAGGTTTAAGGGGTAATTTGACCAAACCGGTTTAATTTTGAACTTTTTAAAGAAAAACAATCCTTCTCCCTATTTTTAACAAAATTTTATTTTAAAAAGGTTACAATGGTTCCCGAAGGTTTAAGAAGTAATTTTAAACCAGTTCAAAAGATGAACTTTTAATAATGGCTAAAGAAACACCCTTCCAACCCTCTTCTATATCCTTTAATCTTTATACATTTGTCCTTTTTTTGAAAAATAATAAATTTACTAAAAAGTAGGCGTTGAAAAGTGAAAATTTGTAGAAATCAGTCATGCAATAATTATGTTGCAAAAATAAATCAAAAAAATAGGTCATGCACGAGAAAAAAGTGAAAATTATATTGAAAAGTGAAAATAGATCATTGAAAATTGTTTCAAAAAATTATTAAAAAGTAGGCGTGGAAAAGTGAAATTAGAAAAATTTGTCAAATAAAAAATATATATAAAACTGAATTTTTAGGATTTTATTTCATTCTTTAAAATTAAAAAAATTATTTTACTAACCTTAAATGACTCCACCACCATCAAAGAGATCGCGTATGTTCATGATCAACAATCTGCTTGATCAACAGCTTGGCGGTGGTGATTTTTTTAAGCATTTGGGGGAAGAAACCAAGATCACCCGGAAATTTAACCTTACGAAACTATCTACTAAATTTTTAATACATGGATTGCCTGATGAACCAGAGGGGCTTTTAAAAGAAATTTTTCAGCGATGTATTGACCAAACTCTAGAAACTAGCCATGATCATCAACTTGATCCTGACCAACTTGGATGTACAGTGAGTAGTCAGTTATTGGAAACTGACATTTGGATCCCGATCAGGGACATCACCAACAACACAGTCGACGCTATATTAAATCAATTCCTAAAGGTGGCTCAATCAAAGAAGCAAGATAATGGCATACTTTGGGGTGAGCCATTTAATGTTTCAGTTACCTGTATTGACAAGAAAAATATTCAACATATACGTACTATCCGAGGCAGCGGCAAAGCTTCGACAATTCAACATAAAGTTAAAGACTGCAATCTTATTAAAATTAATAATTCTGACAACTACTGTTTATTTCATTCACTATCTGCTACTTTCGTATTTTCTACATGTGCTTGGCCAAAATGGAAATTTTACGACTACATTCATAGCAGAAGAGGCATGACACATCAACTCGAGAAAGATGCTATAGAACTTATGAATATAATTAATGCTCCTACTAATCAAACTACCTATGATGCAAATGATTGGGTGCCCAAAGTGGTGGACTACTGGAATTCTTTGAATAAAGGTGGCTTTAAAGTTTTTATTTTTGGAGAATTGACTGTTAAACCTATTTTTAAATACGGGGTCGAAAATTATAAAACACCAATTCTTCTTTATTTTTATAACAATCATTTTGATGGAGTTAGAAAGGCAGGTGATTTATTTGGTAAGCCTTATTGCCTTGCCTGTGAAACGCTTTACAATAAACCAAAGGATCATGCGATCTCATGTTCAGCAAAATGTCAAAACTGCTCTAGGATTGGCCCAGACTACCCTTGCCAACCTTTGAATAACTACTTAAAACTATGTAATGGGTGTTCTAAGGAATTCAGTAATGAAGAGTGCTACAACCATCACATCAAATCAAATTATTGCAACAATTCCAAAAAATGTGAAAAGTGTGGAGTGGTATGGAATGTCTATTTGAACAACAAAAACGGGCGTTCTGGACATGTGTGCTCGGAACGATACTGCAACACCTGCTTTAGCTACCACGACCCTAAAAGAGGCTGCTTCATCAAACCTCTTACTCTAAAGAAGTCAAAACCCTATCGGATCGTAGCTTTTGACTTTGAAACCATGCAGCACAACCAAGGAGAAAAGGGTAAACTACATGAAGTCAATTTCATTTCAGCAAAAATTATTTGCCCCGATTGTATTGCCAACCATCTGAATAACAACTGTACAATTTGTGGGGAGGATCGAACAATTACATTCTCCCATCAGCCATTCGCCAAAACTACAGTCGATCAACAAAACATCACCAATGATCCTCTGACTGAATTTGCAACCTGGATCACCAATTCTTCTATTGATACAGTA